CCGACGACCCCTTCTCTCTCACACACGTCTCATTCGCTCCAGTTAAATAGTGCTTGTATTGTGCATTGTTTTAGTCAGGTTTCGTGCTTATACCAAACACGCGCACCACCACTGATTTATATTAGTGGAGCGCACAATCCGCGCTCAGTCTCAAACAGCTTGTGAGACACAAATACCAAAATGGTTGGCTAACTGCGCTAAAACATTCAAATACATAAAAAATTGTCAAAATGCCCGTTTTGGCGAGTATCCAGTTAAACACAGTCAGTTTTGGAACGTTAAATAGTTGAGAAAGAGAACGCATGTTGTGTAATAGTTATAACCGTTACCTTACTCTCAAAAAAGTGTTGGTTATAAATCTGTTTTATAGGGAGGGAACCCCTAACTAGATTTTATCTAAGGCACAACAGAAGACATCAATAAGGCAAACTAGCTCTATATATAGCAAGCAATGACCAAAACCTGTCAATAGTTCTTAGAAAGAAAATCGGAATCGGCAAAAATCGGTATCGGCAGATCACACTAACAAAAAATCGGAAATCGGAATCGGCCAAGAAAATTGCAATCGGTGCATCTCTAGCAATTACGTTAGTGTAAGCACAATGTAAGAACAGTTATACACATAATTAATATGTTGCATCAAATTCTTATTTTTTCATAAAGTAAGTATGCAGTGATGCCATACACTCTAAAAAAATTCTGGGTTGTTTCAACCCAGCTTTGGGTCAAATTTGGACTAACCCAACTTTTGGGTAAAAAATTGAATGTAAAAATTTAACCCAACGGTTGGGTTAGTCCATATTTGACCCAAAGTTGGGTTGAAACAACCCAGCATTTTTTAGAGTGTAGAAGAACCGACAACTTTTTAATATTCCGAAATCCTTTTTTTCCACTATAAAGAACCTTTTGTGCAGTGGAATGGTTCTACAGATGTTAACGTTTCTTCATGTAACCATCAAAGCCAATGAAGAACCTTTGATTTTAGAGTGTAAATTGAAGTTGATGTTTGCACCAAATAGAACAGAATACAAACTGAGTCGTAAGGTTGTTGAGTCCCTTCCAGGCACCTGATCATTGGTCATGGTGTTACGTACATCAGTGCGCCCAGGGATTTAAATTAACTTTTTCACTCACCAGCCAATTTGGCTATTAAATTTTTAAGTTACCGGCCATTCATAACGTCTACTAGCCAGAAAAAAAAAAGAAAAAGACAGAAATACACCAACAGTTTGAGGCTGTGTACACTGGGCGTGACAAAGCGACCGTTGCAAATCATCTTGTCAGTACTAGGGGTGTGCGATATTGACAAAAAATAATATCTCAATATTTTCTGTGATTTTATCAATAAAGATAATTAGACAATATTTTGCTGAGTGTGTTATTGTGCTGATATCTTGAGGACTATAGTGGACAGCTGACTCCTAAAGTTTTTGATATTCTTCATATACTGTGTGCGGGTCAGTTCACAGCAGTGATAGAAATTAATATTTTCCAATAAGTTTAAATTAGGGCTGCACGATTAATCGCATGCGATATTTAACGCGCATCTTGTCAGAAAGCCGGTTCTGTAATCAGCGGTAAATCTCCATCACCTGCGGGCTTTCACATTGAGCAGCATTAACTACACAGAGCCGTTGTTCACTGATGAGCTGCGCAAAAAATCGCACGAATATGAACGTGGTTTAGCGCAGCTCGTCAGTGAACAACGGCTCTGTGTAGTTAATGCTGCTCAATGTGAAAGCACGCAGGTGATGGAGAT